TTTTTCCGATCCATTAAGTTGTTTTTACTCATTTATGTGCTTTCGTGATATTCATGTGCTTTGTGAATTTTTCGTCTACTTTCATATTTTGTTTATGTAGAAAAATTTGCTTGGATATTTGTGTCGGGAACTCTGTCGGACAACTGAAAAACATCTCTTGAGTCGTGCCCAAAATTCACCGGAGAATCACTCGAACAATGTCCGAGCAAGCCCAAGTTGCAACCGACGTTGCGCATGAGCATCGCGTCCGCAACTTTCGCTGCTTCGCCACGCGAAACTCCGTCTCATGGTTCTGCAAGGCGTTGAGTGATGTTGCATCCACGAGCTACCTTGCGCCAGCGAACGACGGGCGTTCGTGCCCGTGATCGTCCATCGTCCGCACTGGTTGCGCATGCAATGGGCCTCACACGAGCGGCGAGTGTCTTTATTTGGACTCACCTGGAAGGGTTTACGACCTCATTTTGATCTCATTTATATTGGGCCTCGTTTCAGACGTTGAGGATCATCCCAGAACAGAAGAAGAACAATCCCATGACCTTTTCGAAGGACTCGAGAACACCAAAAATCTTCTTGTAACAAGTTTCCTAGGATTTTTCTCCGGTTTTTCTTTTAATCATGCTCGAATTATAAGAACCAAACACATGGAGAACGAACACTTTTGATATATTTCATTAGTGTAAGTTTTCATTTACTTATTCGTTAGTGAACAAACACTTTTGATCTCTTTCATTATTGTAAGTTTTCAGTTATTTATTATTATTATTATCGATTGAATGCGAGTTTCTAAATTTTGACTAACATAAAATTCAATCAAACATGAACTAAATTCATCTACCTAGGGCTAAAAATTTATATTCTCGTCTTTAATTTGTGTTAAATGTGCAGCGTTCATACCTATTCGAATTGTTTGAATATCGTGATCAGTTGTTTGATCACAATCTAGTCTAGATTGATAGCCTAGAAACCGAAAGAGCTGTATAAGATATTCGAACATAATTCGAATATGATAGATATGTTCGTAATTGAGTACTCTATAGGTTTGTCAACGAAAGTATCGGGAATGGATCTTTAGACTTGTGTATATATATTGCTTTAAATAATTTGTCCGTTAATGTTTAATTTCTTGTGGCCAAGCCACAAATTTCACCAACCGTAAAAATTCTGGAACTTCGTATTCCATATCAATACCGTTACGTTAGTTACCACAACTACTGATCAATACAATGTCACAATCTCACCTTCCGTAAAAATTCTCGCACTTTATATCTTCTACCCGTAGTTTCAAGCCTCCGCTTTTAAAAATTAACCCAAGCTTAAGCGGTCGTTTAGTTTGAAGTATCAATAAAAACTAAAAGATCTTGTTAGTCATGCCTAACTATTATTTAATTATATATATGTATATATATTGACATGTATGCATATTTTTATATAGACAAAATTACAATTTTAGTCCGGTTGGTTTGATCAAGTGGCGTTTTTAGTCCTAAGGATTTGTAATTTTTTCTATTTGGTCCTATAACTTTAAAATTTAATTCAATTTTTTAGTTATTTGGGACTGAATATGCAACAAAATATAAAATTACAGGATCTAAATTGCTAATAAAAAATCTTTTGGATGAAATTTTTTATTAGCAATTTAAGTCATATGATTTTAAATTTTGTTGCAATTTAAGTCCCGAATGACTGAAATTGCAACAAAATACTAAATTACAAGATCAAAAGACAAAAGTCGAAATCTTGGAAAAAATGCTACAACGTTAAACCAGCAGGCACTACAAGAAAAACTGCATTTGGCGACGCTTATTAATGACGCTTATTGGCGAGTTGTGTTGCTAAATTTGATGTCAGAAAAAAATAAGCGTCAGTAAACAAAAAAATAAGCGTCGCCAAATGCAGTTTTTCTTGTAGTGAGGACTAAAAATTGTTTCCGACTTCCAATCCTGGGCAAAACAAATCTGCTGATTCATCCCGCTCAAGCCAGCTTTGTCCCCAGGAGAGGTCGACCAGGCGGGAGGATTGAGTAGATATCTCATAACGACCAACTTTACGAAGATCCCATTGTATTAATAGTTTATAATAATTATGTAATTTCGTTATAATTTTATGACAGTGGACTCAATAACAGTTGATAGTCTCATATAAAATTTTTTTAAATAACAAATAAAAATAATTAAAAATCTATAGGTTCAAAATCACAACTTAACGGAACTCTAGTGAAGTGAACGTCAAGAAACGAACCTCCGCCCATCTACTAATTAACTAACTTTATCAAATATTGTGTCCCATTCTCAACCAACACCACAAAAATTAAAATTAATATCCAAACTATTAAAATTTTCATTATTTTCCACATATATATATACACATAATAATTCTATTAATTAATCACAACATATCATATTGAATTGGAAAACGGCGGAGGCAGGTGGCGGCTTTATGGCGGTGCATAGAGCGGAGATCGACACAAGTGCACCTTTCCGGTCGGTCAAAGAGGCTGTGATGCTGTTCGGCGAGAGGGTTCTGGCCGGCGAGGTGTACGCCGGCAAACTTAAAGAGGTGAAGAAATAATTATAAAAAAATCAGTAATTTAGACCATTAATATTGGAATTTGTAACATATATTTTCTTAAAATTTAGTTTTCTGTCTTGAATATCAGTTATTAAATATTAGGTTGATCTAATTTTGACTGATTTTTATATTACGGTTAATTTTTTAATTCGAAAGAAATGAACTATGTAATTTCATAGGAAAATTACGCATATTAACCAGCGTGACATTTAGAAATATTGTGTTTCGATGAGTTGTAAGTAGCGAGGAACTTGATTTTCACCTTAACTAATGCTTTATAGAAAGGCTTTTTCTTAATTGTTTAGTAGTAACTAGTAGCATTGTCTGTTTTTCTCGCGCGTACCATATATAAGCGCCTCACGCGAAACAAAATAGCGAAAAATAGATGCAGGAAAAGACGAGCAAATACGATCACGGGACAATCGCATCTGAGCTTGAGGAGACGAAACAAAGCCTTCAAAAGGCTCGTGAGGAGACCGCCAATATGGCTCGATATATCTCCTCATTACAAAAGGAACTCGAACAAACCAAACGGGAGCTCGAGAAGCTCAAAGCCCGTGTGTTGGATTTCGAGACGGAGGACCTCAAATACGTCGAGAGCGCCAAACAAATAACCGAGCAAGTGAAAACCGAGACGCATGAAAGCAATATTAATGTCGAGTTCCAAAAGAAGAAATGTGTGTCGTTCTCAAATCATCCGCCCGTTGAACACATGGCAGTTCAGTCGCCACTGTTAGCTGGCGAGGAGGCGGCCATGCTCGAGAGGCACCCATCGATGAAGAAGAAGAAAAGAAAGCAACTCATTCCCCTTATTGGAGGGATTTTCTCCAAGAAGAGTTTGGCTTGAGTGAGATTGAATGTGATAAAAGGATATTTGTTGTGATGATGTTTTTAGATGGAGGGAGTGCTTTAGTTTGGTTATGTTCAAATTTAATAATGACGTGTTAATAGAACAAGATTGTTATTTTTGGTATTTAGTACTACCTCTTTTTTTTTAAAAAAAAAAAATGTCATTTTAGCTTTATCAAATTAACTAAATAAATGACATTATGGTTTTTTTGTATGTATTTTTCTGTTATTACCCTCATCTAGTTTATAAATGCACTACGTCTTTTCATATACACTCTTCATTTTTTTTTCAAAACATTTATTTCTATTATCATTAATGAGGGTTATTATTGACAAAAAAAATAATCTTAATTACTGCGCACTTCTCAAAACTGACATTTATTAAAAATAAGGGAAAGTAAAGTACATCATATCATCGTTTCATGCATGTCATAAACAAATTAAGCAGTGTTTGGTTTGATTTCATTTTTTTTTTTTTTGTTCTCCTATATATAATGATTCAAAAATAACATTGTTGGTTTGAATTTAGCATTATTGTGACTAGGGCAGCAAAAGAAGCGAGCCGCTCGCGAGCGCGAGTTTGACAGAAATCGAGTGCAGCTCGAGCATGTTATCGAGTCGATCTCGAGCATAAATTTTGGAAGGTCGAGCGGAGCAACTCGAGGTATATACTGAATTCCTAAAATATCTCTTATATATAATTAAATACTACAGTATTTTATGTAATGTATGTACTTATGGTGATTTTACTTAACATTCGAGTCGAACTCGAGCCAAACTCCAGCAATCTATCGAGCTCTTTGATTTCAATCGATCTCGAGTCGAGCTCGAGCGATTGTCTTCTTTTCTCGAGTTGATCAATTAAAAAAAGAAAAAAAAAATAATCTTGATCGATAAGGTCAATGCTCGACTCGGCTCAGCTCGTTTATAGCCTTAATTGTGACTATTAGCTATGGGCAAGAAAGATTTTCTCCACTATTTAGCAAGTGGCGATCTCATCAAAATTTAGCTTATTAATGTGACCGTGTGAGCTACTATGCAACATCCAATTAACCCATTTTTAATTAAACTAAGATAAAATGTTACATTTTCACTTCATTATATATTAAATCCATATTCATATTCGGATTTTATTATTAAGTAGTTAATTAACCTAGGTGTTCATTATTTTTCAGGCACCATAATAATTACTTGGTCAACTAAAATCACCACATTCATCTGCATATATGAACCTGATTATTTGAACTACATATATATAAAATAATCTCATGTAATCATAAATTCATATTAAAAGAAATGCATTGTGGACTACTATCTTTTAAAAATTTACGCAAAAGCTACTTTATAAAGTGCAACTAATCGATGATTAAATTAATCACATCTGTCGTTAATATGTTGTCTATTTATGACTTTATTAAACGTAGAAGGGATATGATTTACAACCACGGGCCAAAAATGGGCCAGAGTCAAAACGGCCCCAAAAACAGTTGAACATGGACTAATATTGTGCCAAAAATAAAAAAGAAAAAAAAATATTGGATATATAACTATGGGAAATGCTAAGGTTGCGTTACGGAACCATTCCGTCGAGGTTTGTAATCGTTAGATCATCATGTAACCGTCATAAATAGTTGATTTTACGGTTATAAATCCCGACGAGATGGTTCGTAACGGAACCCGAATTTATCTTCAAAACCCTTTTATTAGCAGCAACAAGGCGACAAACTAAACACTTTCAATAAAAACTAATGACTTATAAGGGCATCATACAAATGATTCGGTCACATTCCTAAGACGAATCACTTTATCCTTTTCCTCAATTCTTTGTTTCTTCCCGAGCTAACATCATTGAGTTCAAAGAGAATATTTTGCATTACAAAACTTTACCAATATAAACAAATTATATAATCTCTCATTAATTTTATTCCTTCACGCCACACAAATGATAGCATTACACTTCCCAAAGAATATTATAAATAAGTTACAATAAAATTAAACGGACAACAATTTTGAATTTTCAATCACACAAACATTCAACAATATATAAGAAGGCCAACATGATACATAGTATCATCATGTTCATATTGCTCTCCTCAAATTCAAGATTAATTAGGGTACGTTCTTTAGAGAAAATTTCAATCTATCATTGCCATGAAACTATTGGACAAGCTTCAAAGGATGTTGATGCGATTCATATTGCTTCGCCGCCTCCCGGCGAGAGGAGGTCGGGCGCCGCAGGCGGCGGTGGAAAAGGGCGGCACGGCCAGGCGGCGGTCGTGTGACCGGTCGGCCGATACACCGAAGGTTTCGTGCAGTTCGTATTATTACTCTTCAAACTCGCACTACAACGAAGCTATTGCCGATTGCATCGAGTTTTTCAACAGGTCGTCGCAGGATGACGGTGTGTTTAGTGCGAGAAATCCAGATGTTATCGTTGTTTAAATTTTTGTGTACATGAATTTGTACGATGTATTAGTATATCTATGTTCGTCGAGAGGTTTGTTGTAATATACTCGATTCAGGAGTGAGCAACTGTGCGATTCAGTTTTATCCATGCACATAAAAGATAAATCGAGTTTGTTAAAAGAATAGACGAACCACACTGCAAAACAAAAGTTTTATATTCACACCATACCAAATTGTATGGTTCGACTCGATTTGTAGGTTTTCTATTGATTGTTCTATACATTCGTAGTTATTTGATTCAGTTCCTGCGAAATCACACCCGAAAATCGAAAATATAATTCATGAAAAGGAAATCTAAATGCATGGAAAAAGAATGGCTCGATTTTGCTTGAAACGGTGCAAATGCGAAATAGCCCTCGTTGAGTGATATCGACTAACGATTAGACTAAAGTGGTGAACAAAGCTTGAAACGAGTCAAATCTAGGGGTTGTCAATAAGGAGCAACACAATTGAGAGACACGAACACGACACAAATTTATAGGGCTTGGGCTAGAGGTTATCGGGTTCGGATCCATATTGGGGCTAGCCCATTAAAGTACACTACTTATCAGGCCAACCCAATAAGGCCCGATAAACTCATTTGGGCTAACCCAAGTCAACAGTATCTCGGTCCTTAGCCCATGGTACGTTGGAGAATGTGACAATGGAAAACTCATCAAACAAAAACAAATGACAAAGCAATTGGAATTTCACTGTTCTTTCTTCACAGTTCGTGCCGGGTATCTTCACAGTTAGCGGCGAGGCGGCTTCATTCCGGCAATACATTCCGGTATTGATGGCTGAATTGCAGTTCTTGTGATTTTGTTTGAAAAAAAAAAAATCAGATTTTTTCATTGTTGTTAGCAGCAGCAGGTAAAACAGACAAGTGGCGGCAGCAGCAGGTGAGGACCGTGAGGTGATTGCCTAAGCCCTAATATCTCGAGCCTCTGTACTCTCTAAGCTTCTGTACTCTCCAGCCTCTGCGACGGAAGACGGTGCGCATCTTCCATCCGGGGCCGGCGGAGAGGAAGCGAGGGCTGCGAGAGTCTAGACCGGTGTGCGACGACGCGACTGTGAGAGGAAGTGAGAGCGGCGAGCGGCACAGAGAGTGACTCCGACTGGCGAGGAACCTCCCATTCCGGTAATGATGGCTGAACCTGAACTGCTTGAAGATTAATTTTGGTTTATTGAATATGAACTTCTGAACTGTGAATTAAAATGTGGTGCCTCTTTTTTTTTTTTTTTTTTTTTTT